TACTTTTTTAAATTTACTTTTATTTATTTATTTTTGGCTGCGTTGGGTCTTTGTTCCTGCACACAGGCTTTCTCTGGTTGCGGTGAGCAGGGGCTACTCTTCGTTGCATTGCGCGGGCTTCTCGTTGTGGTGGCTTCTCTTGTTGCGGAGCACAGGCTCTAAGTGCATGGGCTTCAGTAGTTGCAGCACATGGGCTCAGTAGTTGCGGCATACAGGCGCTAGAGCACAGGCTCAGTAGTTGTGGTGCACGGGCTTAGTTGCTCTGCGGCATGTGGGATCTTCCTGGACCAGGGCTCGAACCCCGTGTCCCCTGCATTGGCAGGCGGATTCTCAACCACTGTGCCACCAGGGAAGTCCCCACAGTTTACTTCTTAAAGTCCAATTTTCTAAGAGTTTTAGCCAGGAAAAAGAAAAGATTAAAGTAGTCAGGAATAGATTCCCCTCCCCTGCCCCCAAGATACTTCTGTGGGATTTCTGGGGCTCTAGGAGCCCAGCTGAGAGAGCCACTGGGCCATATGTTGTTGACGTGCCCAGAAAAAAGCAAGGTGAGCCTGTTAAAACAAACAGCATGTAAACAAGCAGCCACAACAAAACTGGGTAGACCCTGCTTATAATACTGTGGGGAATAAAGAGGTCAAAATATGACAATACAAGTAGGAGATTAGTTTTCATGGAAGGCTGTGGATGTGTTCCTTTCTGGTCCCATGAGGCTGGGCTCTAGAGTGCACGTGGGCTCAGCTGCCCCGTGGCATGTGGGATCTTAGTTCCCCAACCAGGGATCAAATTCGTATCCCCTGCATTGGAAGGTAGATTCTTAACCACTGGACCACCGGGGAAGTCCCATCTACTTCTACTTATTAAAAAGACTCTTTTGGAGTCTTTAGACATAGATTTTTCTGTGTGTCACTTTTGTATATGCAATAAAGGATATAGGCACCATAAATTGATTGAAGTCTTTCTAACCTTCACTTTCAGAATCTGATTCTTCTGAATCGCTTTGCAGCTCCATTCATCAGTATCCGTTTATGTTGAGGCCACATCACTCTGCTTTCTAGAGCGTTGGTGATGCAGAGCTTTTGTCTCTGAGATTTTCATCCATGCTGCTGATACCCATTCTGCCAGCTCTGATGTTGCCACTTTCTTCATCTTACTAGAAGGTGTCAGTAGAACGTGTTTTAGGCAACCTAGACTCAGATTCCTTCTTCAAGTGGGCCTTTTTTTAAAAATCTTTTGGCAGCACCGCACGGCATGTGGGATCTTAGTTCCCTGACCAGGGATTAAACCCAAGCCCCCTGCATTGGAAGGGCGGAGTCTTAACCACTGTGCCACCAGGGAAGTCCCTGTTGGGTCTTAAATGGTTTGTTAACAGTGAACAGTCAGGAGTTTCCATTGTCTGGTCATGCCTTGGGGAATAACAACTAAGTGCATTCACCTGTAGGCAGTGACAACAAAGACAAGGCAACAGCAACCGTAAGACCCTCCCCAGTTTTCAGAGGTGAAAAAATGTATGTCTTGTAATTGATGATAATTATCCACAAGAAGTCTAGGAGTAAATGGGCACTGTCAGTATTCCAGTGACTTAGTGATGCCAAGGCTCCGGGTGGATGTCTCTGCGAGTCTCCTTGTCACAAGGTGGCAGTTCCCACACTCAAAGGCAGAAAGCAGGGAGCAGGGTCAGGCCTTTCTCCTGCATGTGAGAGGGAGAAAATATCTTTCCCAGAAATCCCTTAGCAGATTCCCCTTACCTCCCATTGGCCAGAACTGCATCACATGGCCATGCATAATAGCTAGGAGGGAGTTTGGGAAATCTGTTTTTTTTTCTCACCACTTCGAGAACGGAATTGGGAATGACTTTTGGATGGTCAACTAACAGTCTATCCCACTGTGGTCAAATACATTTGGGATATGCTGAGTCGAACAACCCAAAACACTACGACTTCTCAAAGCTTTTAGTATGTGGCTCATTGAATTATAGAATATGTTTTTAAGCTTTTCCAAATTTAGGGAGTCCAAATTTATTTTCCCAAAAATAAGGAACCCAGTTTTGCAGAATACCAGAGAACCACTCTTGGCTGTTCCCAGAATAAGAAAACGAAGGTTCTCAGAGCAGAGCTGAATCGGCCAGTGGAATAAGGTCTGTGGAAAGTGAATGGAGATGAGGTTTGGAGTAGAGACTGAGCAGGGCTGAGAGGTTTACAGCTGAAAGGGCTATATTGATTTGAACCGTCTCAGATTGTTTTGATGGGTACGGGCTAATTTGTTTTCAAGAGCCTATATCCATGCTGCCGTGGTTTCTTCTGAGACAGGACTCAGTCGATACTGAGCTATTATTATCTCCTTTTCTTTCCTAACCTTTGCCACTTCCTGTCGTCATGATGCTAGTGATACTGGAGCAGGCCAGCTGGCTTCTGGGACTGGAACTGAGTGCTTTGCTGAAATGGTCATGGACATGTGTGATGCCTGCTGCCTCTTTTCCTCAGATACATTGCTGAGCCTTTGTGAGAGCTGCCAGACCCAGGGAAGGAGTTAATCCACCACCATTTATTTGGACTTAGAATCATGAAGCCCCTCCTAGTTTTTTTCCCAGAAGTGATCCTTTTTTTTTTTTTTTTTTTTGGCTGCCCCCCCGCAGCATGTGGGATCTTAGTTCCCCGACCAGGGATTGAACCCGTGCCCCCTGTAGTGGAAGCACGGAATCTTAATCACTGGACCTCCAGGGAAGTTCCTAGATGTCATCTTGAATGTTTCTGAGTAGAATAATCATGGGTCATTGGCTGATGGATTTGGAGGGGATTATACTGGGGAGCGGGTCTCCCCCCTCATTTTCTTGGCAAAGACCACCCAGCTGTTACGTCTAGAAGGTGAAGCCTCAAACCCCTTGCCTACCATCGTTCAGGAGCTGTATCTGAGGCAACCAGGGAGATTTCTGCCTTTCTCACATAATGCCCTCCAAATACCCCTTTGCCTGGATTTAGAATTCTAGTTGTATATATTTTTTATTTTATTTTATTTATTTATTTTTAAATCTATTTTTATTTTTGGCTGCGTTGGGTCTTCGTTGCCGCACGTGGGCTTTCTCTAGCTGCGGCGATAGGGGGCTACTCTTCGTTGCGGTGCGCGGGCTTCTCATTGCGGCAGCTTCTCTTGTTGCGGAGCACAGGCTGTAGGCGCACAGGCTTCAGTTGTTGCAGCACGCAAGCTCAGTAGTTGCGGCACGTGGGCTCTAGGGCGCACAGGCTTCCGTAGTTGTGGTGTGTGGGCTCAGTAGTTGTGGCACACAGGCTTAGTTGCTCCGCGACACGTGGGATCTTCCCGGACCAGGGATCGAACCCGTGTCCCCTGCATTGGCAGATGGATTCTTAACCACTGTGCCACCAGGGAAGTCCTGTATATATATTTGATTATTTAAATAGTTTTCTTTCTGCTGTTGTTAGTTTCCTGGAGACATGGTTTTTTAAATATCTTTGGTAGGCTGAGAACTTATCATTTTCATATTTTAATGCATCTTTGTTTCATTCTGACATTTTTTCTAAAACTGTCTGCAAGCTCCTTTGTCTTCCCCCGTTGCCTCTAATGAACTCATTCTGCGTTTGCTCCTTTAGCTAACTGACTCTTTTGCTAAAGTTACTTCAGTGAATTACTGTGCTTTGTTGGCTCATTTTCATTACTATTTAAGTAAAGTGAAAAAAAAATCTCCAAACCCTTCTGCCATCTCTGAAAGCCTCTTAACTAATGCTGTCATGGCCCTTGTTGGTTTCATCAATCCCACCCCCCAGCCCAGAGCCCTTGTTAGCTGCTCTCGCTGATTTTGTGCTGATTTGTTGGTTCTGTTCCATCTGCGGTGCCTATGGTCCCCACGTCCTCTAGCCCTCTAGGACTACTCTTTCCTTCATTATTCAAATAAAATACCTCCGCCCCCGATCCATGCACCCCATGTACCTATGGGAAGTCTGCATGCCCATGAGTGTTTCTGAAGATACCCACGTTTATCAATTTGCCTAGTGGTTACTTGCCTGTCACCTCTTGCTCCAAACCCCAGCCCAGTTCTCAATAATCCACGTGTCCTTACCAGCCCCTCCGCCCTTGGGTTTCCTTCTCCCCCAAACACAAGTCTCCCCCTCCAGCCCCTGAGGCACACCTAAAGCAATGCTATCATCCCTGTGCCTTCCTTATAATCTTTTCACTTTGACAGATTCTCTCATCCAGATGGCGAGGCCCTTCCCTTTCATAAGTATAATGGATTGATCTTGCTTTTCCTAAACAAAAGAACAGTTTCCCCCTGAGACAGCTTCTGTGGCTCCTTGAGAATAAGAAATGGTTACGGTCAACAGTGTTTTGTTGCGTGTGTGTCTTTTTTTAATATCATCTTTTTCCTTCCTGATTCATTACCTTTGGGTATTTTATGGAGCTCAAGTGTGACAGTGGCAGTCAGTGTGACTCATGAACAGTCATGTGAACAGATAAAAGAAATGGCTGTTGTCATACATTTAAAAAATACTGTCTGCATTTTATTTCCTTTGAAAAGAGTAAGGACTGAGCACATAGATTATTAAGTTCTGATATTCTAGCCAGATCCTTGTGTCCTGGGAACTGAGCAAAATGTAGCTCTATAAGGATTTTGATTTATGTAAAGCCGGAGAAGCCCCAGACAAGCCCTGGAGAGTAGGAACCGAAGGCAGCAGTCGTTTCCTCGGCCCTGAGTCTGGCTGAGGCTCGGGCTTATCGTGGGGGGGGCGTCTGAAGGAGAGGAAGGAGCCTGGAGCCAGAAGAGCAGTTCCTGAGCCCACAGGAGGCCCTAGAACATTCTGGGCCTGGACCCCCTCAGTGTTCCCTGCAAGTACACCAGGCAGCTGCCCCTCTGCAGAGTATTCCAGGGGACTGACCTCCACCTTGCTGACCGCCAGAGCCCCCCTCTTGGCCTCGGTTGCGTTCGCCCGCCACAGCTGCCCCGGTCTGTGGGGCAGGCCTCTGACGTGTGCCCCGTCCTGTGTTGTGTCCAGGGACAGGGTGCCTTATCAGAGAGACTCCGGAGCTTCAGCATGCAGGATCTCTCCACCATCAGGGGAGACGGCGCCCCTGCTCCCTCAGGCCCCGCGCCACCGGGACCCGGGCGGGCCAGCGGCAAACATGGCCAGCCTAAGATGTCCAGGAGTGCTTCCGAGAGCGCTGGCAGCTCAGGTAGGTGTCACTTCCCTTCCCCTCTTTTCCACCTCGTAGGCCTTGCTTTCGTGAAGGGAGACCCAGGCCCCCCTAGGGCCCTTGCCCCAAGGACTCGCCACCCATACAGACGTCCATCAGACCGTGCCAGGCCAGCCAAGGGGCAGAGCACCACTTGGGCCAGGGCAGAGGGCTGGCCTTGGGGACTCTGATCGGGGGCAGGTTTAGGTCACCTGCACCAAAGGGCCCCATCTCCTCCATCTGATTATCTGGGGGGGGGGGGGGGGGGGTTGAGTAGTAGTACCTGGACCAAGCCTAGAGGTGACAGGCCCAGCTGGACCTGGACCAAGGCAGCTTTCTCTGTGTTCTTCTTCTCTGACCCCACACTCCCAGGAGGGCTTACCTGTCGTGAGCACCTGCGTGTCTCCTCCCACCCAGCCAGGGCTTACGGCACGGTATCCCTTTTCCCTGCACGGTATTTCCTGTCCTGTCTCTCACTCTACCATCTCCTCCCCTCCCTGAGCCACCATGCCCCATGCATAACCTCGGCCACCACATGCAAACACCACACTAGCTCTGAGGTCTAATTCCTGTGGAGGCCGGGGCTTTACGGAAACCACACCTCTACCTCGATGTCTACCCCTGGTAGAGGGGTACCTGGGCCAGGATTGGCCTGGAACTTTGTTTAAAAGTGCAGAGTCCTGGGCCCCCCCACCGGGGGATTCAGTAGGTCTAGGGTGAGCCCCTGGTATGTGATGCTGTCGAGGTTGCAGCCACATTTGGCACCCACTGACGTCTGATCCCTCAGTGGGTTTCGGGCTTGTGGAAGGTAGGGGCAGGGATTAGAGGGCTATGGAGTTGGACCAGGACTCAGGGTTTCCCAGACTGTTCCTTGGGAAGATTACGGGGCTTGGCTTTCGGGAGCCGAGCACTGCTGCTGCCAGCAGAAGGTTGATGGGGAAGGGGCTGCAGGGGATCGTTCTGGATCATCACCTCAGCCCCTCCACCTTGCTGGGAAATTGAGCCTGGGGGCTGAAATTGGGCCACTATTGGAATCTCTGGCTGTGACGTGTGCAGGTGGTTAGCCTGCCCTTAAATGTATAAACAGGGACCTCCAGGCCACCTAGACCTAGACTGGGTGCTGTGAGGTACAGCCTACAGGGGCATCTCAGTCCTGTGCCTGGGCTCCTTCCAGGCCCCACCTGACTTGAGGGTCTAAGACATGGATGGGAAAGAGGGAGCCTCACCACTGCCCTGGGAATGACAACCCATGCTCCCTTCCAGGGAAAGGAGAACGGCTCAGGGCCCGGCCCAGCGTCTGCCAGGTTCCAACCCACTCAGGAATGGCCTCTCTACCCCCGGCCCCAGGATTGAAGAATGTGGCTTTTCTGTTGGAAGGGAGAGATTTTAACCCTAGCAGGGCTGGGGAGGTGGAGGCTTGGCCATGGGGGTGAGGTCTACCTCAGGTAGGGGAACCCTGTCCCTGTGCCAGGGGAACTTAGCATGGAATCCCAAAAGGCCAGGCAGGAGGGGACCTTGGGGATCACGCAGTCTAATCCTCTGATTTTGCCAATGAAGAGACAAAGGCCCAGGGAAGGGAGCTGTCACCAGGGTTGCCCGCCGGTGGCATTCTCCTGTGGCCCCCTGACTCCTAGGCCAGGGCCTTCTCTCCACTCACCTGCTGGCCATCAGGTTTCCCTGAGCATCTACAGCTTCTGACCTCCTGGGCACCGTTGCAGAAGTAGGGATGCGAAAAGCAATTAGATATCGCCTCCACCCTCGGTCAGCTTCCCGGCTACGAAGCCTCAAATGAAAGCTGTCATTGGAAGAAAAAGGGCCCCAGTTCTCTGAGGCTCAGTGGGCAGAGCTAGAACCAGTGGGGTCAAGTTCCAAGGGGGTAGCCACTTACCAGCTGTGTGGCCTGGGCAAGCTGTTTATCCTCTCTGCACCGCAGATTCTTTATCTAAACACAGGGAATGACAAGCCCCATTTGTAGGGTTGTCGTGAGGATTCAACCATAATAATCCATGTAAAGGTGCTTAGGGTCATGCCTGGCACTCGAGGTCGTAGCTGCTGCCAGTTTTGTTCTTCTTGTTGATATCTAACTCACCTACGAAAGTACTTTATAATATGAAAGTATCCAGGACAGAAATGGGCTGCCTTGTGAGACAGTGAGATTCCTGACATTGGAAGGGCCCAAACCAAAGTCCAATAGTCATATACCAAAGCTCTAGGGAGGGATTCCTGCTTTGGCTAGGAAATGGGCCTAGGTGGCCCTACAGTCCCTTTCCCTCTTAGAGTCTATATTGTCATTATAGAGGTGAACGAAGCAGAGGAAGTAGGCTCAGAGAGGTCACACACTGTGCCAAGGCCACACAGGACTGGAATCCAGGCCTCCTGCCTACACCTCCCCTTGGTGGATGATTCGTGGCAGCTTCAGAACTAGGAAAGAGAGAGGTTTGGTAGGATCTAAAAGGTGATGGATATTACTCAGCCATAAAAAGGAATGAAATTTTGCCATTTGTGACAACATGGATGGACCTGAGGGTATTATGCTTAGTGAAATAAGTCAGACAGAGAAAGACAGATACTGTATGTTTTCATTTATATGTGGAATCTACAAAATGAAACAAACAAATGAATATAACAAAACAGAAACAGACTCAGAGATACTGAGAACAGACAGGTGGTTACCAGAGGGGAGAGTGGTGGCGGGGAGGGGTAAAATGGGTGGAGAGGATTAAGAGCTACAAACTACCAGATATCAAATAGATAGGCTACAAGGATGCAATGCACAGCACAGGAATATAGCCATCATTATTTATAGTGTCTGTATATGGAGTACGATCTATAAAAATATTGAATTACTGCACCTGTACACCTGAAACTAATATAATATTGTAAGTCAACTATACTTCAATACGGAAAGGAAAAAAAAAAAAGGCGATGGGAGGCATCCCCTGGGCTTTGAACATCTTCCCAGACAGTCACTAGATGGAAGCGGATTTGGGCTGATTTGTTTGGTTCTGACCCTGCTGCCCTCTGTCCTCTGCTGTGCCCCGTGGGGCAGGGGCAGCGCTCTGGTTGCAGGTGTGCGGGCCAAGCAGGTGGAGTTTGCAGAGAACCAGAGAGCCTGCGGTGCTGCCACACGACCTGCTCTCCTCATTGCCTGACCATGGCCGTGGCGCCTGTGATTTCAGGGGGCCCGGCAAGGGAGGTGCTGACCTAGCAGGGAGGGCAGGGACCCTTGGCCTTCGCCCTGGCTGTTCTGGGCCTAACATAAAAGTCATCTCAGAAAGAAAGACCAGTGAAAGATGGCCCAGGGTCTGGGCGTGGGGCAAAAGCACCCAGATCAGAGGCTCTGGGGCTGTCGTAACCCCAGAGTGGAGGGTGCGGGTGACTGGGAGGGAGTCAGCCAAAGGAGACCCAGCTTTGTGTACCCTCTCAGCACCCAGCCTCGGACGCCAGGCATGGTCGGGTCGGGGAAACGGCCCCCAGTCTGGGCTTCCATCCTGGCTGAGTGACCCCGGGCCTGCGCAGAGACGGTAAATGCAACACAGCGAGGCAGACGTCAACAAGCAGTCACCACACTTGTTCCCTCTGGGCCTAGATTCAGCCTCAGAACCTTCCTCAGAATGATACCCCAGGCGGCTGCTATCAGAGGATTTGACCTTGGCACAGAAAACGAGCTCAGTTGCCTTCAGGTTTCCTCTGGAGAAAAGGCGCAAGAATCCCTATCCCTCCTACATCTTAGGCTTGTGAGGAGAGCAGTCACAAGTCACAGGGCTTATTTGCAAGCCCTGGCAGGTAGCACCTGTTGCAGGCAGGCTGGGAGAGGATGGGCAAGACGCGGTGGCTGCCCCCCCCGTGGAGTTGTGTGCAGCGTTGGAAGCAACAGTTTCAATGTACATATAGGTAGAGTTTGAGAACACGAGGCCTAGTGAAAAAAGTACAAAACGGAATAAGATATTATATAACAATTTATGTAAAATAAAAATGTAGGCCCATTGGTGTAAAATAGCACTATGCAGTTTGCATCGCCCACCCTGCAGAAAGGACTGGGAGGCGTTTTGTCAGACATCATTTATTGAAAGTCTGGCACTGAACCCCAGGAAGGGTACAAGGGAGTTGAAAAAATGATCCTTGCCTTCCATGAACTTGGAGACAGCCTGTATTTAGTGAGCACCTACTGCATACCAAGGGCCAGATGTGCACCAAGACCAATGGACTGTGTAAGGTAGCAGCCAATTAGCTGTTTGAGCACTTTGAGGGTTCAGCGGTCCGTTTCCTGCAGGTCATTCTGAACTGGGAGACAGAGAGAGGAAGGGCATCTGGGCAGGCACAGTTGGAGTTATTTCTCAGAGGAAATTTTGACGTCACCCTCTGCCTCCCCTTGGGCTGCAGGACACAAGGACTGACCTCTGTGGGCCAGGCAAGGTCATCCTTGGGCTGCAGGACACAAGGACTGACCTCTGTGGGCCAGGCAAGGTCATTTTCTAGCACCCGAGAGGAAGCTGAATCTGAAATGATCCCCTCCGCCACCTCAGTGTCTCTACAGAGACCCACATTCCTGGGACCCCTGTATTGAACACACTGGGATCCCCACACCTCCCTGGGACCTCCCGGTTTGCCTGGGGGCTGGTTCCTGTCAACTGGGGGCTATCACTGATGGTGCCCCCATCCCCACAGTGTGTACCTGCTGCTTCACCTGCAGGACCTGGAAAGGTGAGTAGACAGCCAGCATCTCTGCAGCGTGCGGGACTCGCCTCGGGAGGAGGCTCTAACCATGAGCTGGTGTCAGACCTGGGGGCTCCCTTTCAGCTGCAGGGTCTGGGGGGGTGGAGTCAGGAGGTTACCTCCTCCAAACAGCAAACATGTATTACCCTACAGCGAAGCCAGGCTAGACATTTGGGAGCGGCTTAACTGGGTGGTCTGGCTCAGGGACTCTCAAGAGTTCCAGTCAGGATGTCAGCCAGGGCTGCAGCCATCTGAAGGCTTGACTGAAGATGGCTGTCTTGTGACTGTTGGCTGGAGGCCTCAGATCCTCACCACGTGGGCCTCTCTGGGGCTGCTTGAGCATCCTTACGACACGGCAGCTGGCTTCACCCAGAGTGAGTGATGCAGGAGAGAGAGGGCAAGCAGGAAGCCACAGTGCCTTTTAGGACCTGGTCAGAAGTCACATACCACCGCTTCTGCCTTATTCTGTTTGCGGGAAGTGAGCCATTAAGTCCAGCCCACACGCAAGGGGAGGGGAATTCATCTCCACCTCTTGAAGGGAGGAGCATCAAAGGATGTGTGGAGCCATTTTAAAACCATCCCAGGGTCATGGTTCCTTGTGCTCTGGGTGATGATAACACAGGCACTTACCCAGCTCCTCTGAAGTGCTGGAGCCCCAGGGCTTTCGGCCCTTGTGCAGCCAAGGGAGCCCTGGTCCTGCTTTGCCACTTAACCAGCTGTGTAAGTATGTGCAAATCACCTAACCACCCTAAGCCTTGATTTGCTTCAAATAGAGAGAAAGATCCCCGCTTCCCCACTCCCCTGTGCTGTTGTGAGAATGTCTGTGAAAGGACTGTGTGGAGGGCGGCGATGGTGATTACCGTTAGAGCCAGGGGACCTCAGGGAGCCCGGCCGGCCCCTGCTGCCACCCTCCCTGGGTGTGGGTGATAGCTTAGCCACGCTTTCCCTCCTGACCTGCTCCCGCGCTTTCCCTGACCTTAACTAGACATGCGAGGGACCAGAAATGGTGCTCAGCCCCCTTTGCTCCCCCCGCACCAAGGAGGTGCCTTTGGCTCAGAAGGCGAGAGGGGCCGCCCCTGGCCTGCAGCTGCTGGCTGGTGTGAGGGGAGGAGAGAGGCACGCCTGGCGCCCTTGTTGCCTGTGCCCCCTGCCCCGGTGCCACTGAGACGTGGCTCGCGCCTCCCATGTCGGTGGAGGGAGAAGGGTCCTGTTTTCCCTTTAGTTCTTCAGTTTTAAGACTTTTCAGTGCTAAGGTTTTCAAAGGTCTGTAGAAGACATGGGGGTTTTGGAGGCCATAAACCTAATGAGAACAGATGGTCCAAGGAGTCCTGAGCAGGGCTGCGGGGAGCAGCATCGTGCTGGAACAGAGGAGTGTATATATGCTCAGCAAGGATAAAAGAAACGGAGGGGCTGCACGCAGCTGTTTCCAGCGCTAGCAGCCGAGACTCGGGCCTGGTGGACGTGCTAGTTCGTGGGAAACAACCACAGCGTCCCAGGCAATTATGGTTCTTTCTATCTAGTCACCCTTTACAATTTTGAGTTTGTAAATTCCATGAGCCGTTCAGAAAGCCTCTCGTTCCGGGATCTTGTCACTTGGGGGACCGGGGAGAGGAGAGCTGCCTTCTCCTCCGTTCTTGCCTCGTGGGCCTGTCCTGTGCAGCTGTCCGCGTGGGGAAGCCCTCGCCCTCCCCGTGACCCCTGGTGGTTCCCTAATCACAGGCCGCCTTTCCAGTACGTTCAAATAGAATTACCGCTGATTGTGGGAACTGAGCAGAGTTCGGTCTTCCTGGGAGCTGCGGGGATGGGGGCTTCTTGGGGACTGGACAGCAGGTGGGGCTCGGTGGAGGCCTCCGGCTGGGGTGGCCCTGCTCAGGGTTGTGATCTGGGAGCCTTTGCCCCAGCCCTGCCTTTCTTGGCCCTCTTGACACCCAGGGCCCTGGAGTTCTTCCCCGTCTCCTTAAGGTCTTCTTGCGAGGAACCAGCTAGAGATTTGTCCACCCCACTTCCCTCTGTGATGGTGGGAAAACCCCTTGGCGCTCCAGGCCTCAGTCTCCTCCTCTGTAAAGGGGGGTGGGGTGGGTTGAGCTCGATGGCCCTGGGGCCCCGTTTTCTGCGGGTGAAGGGTGCTGAGTGTGAAGTGCCAGCAGACGGTGTCGGGGGAGGTTGGTCTCACGCCCGGGGCTGGGGCAGTGATGCTGGGAGAGAGGATTTCAGGGGGTCACAGACGCTTTGGTCAGAGGGGCCCTCCTGGTCCCCGGAAATGACTTCCATCTGTGCGTCTTGGGCCCCAGGAGAACATTCTGCTCCATTCCCGCCCATCTGTTAATCGTTTCCTGTTGTCTCCTGCACATCTGTCTCTCTTCTTCTGTGCTTCTGTTATTCTCTCTCTCTCTCTCTCCCGCTCATACCTACCGCCCTTTCTCCCCTCTTTTCTCTCTACCTGCCTTGATATTATATAGAGCTGAAAACTGAATTCTATTACTGCTTGAAATTAGTCATAGAGGTGGGGTTTTTTTTTCCTTTTTTAAAAAAAAAATCAAGTGTGTGGGACATATAAAAAGCAGAGTCATCTCTTTTTATCCTCTCTATTAAAAGAGAGAGAGAATTGCCTCTTTCTTGAGGGTGGCCCCGCGGCAGTTTCTTTCCTCAGCAGCCGGAGCCGCCAGAGGTTTGGAGCATGGGCAGAGTGTGAGCGTGTGTCCGTGTGTGTGTACCTGTGTGTGTGCACGAACACTCACACGTGTGTGTGAGTTTCATCCCCAGAGGTCCTTCCCTAACAGAATATTCTCTTCTTTCTCCTCGGTGGCTGTCGGGGACGCTGACGTGAGTGTTCCAGATGGGCGTGCTCTCCTCCAGATGCCTTTGCTGACTTTCGTGAACGGCTCCCACTAACGTGTGCTGCGGGGGAGTGTTTGCTAACCCGGGGTGTTTGCTGCACTGGTGGGATGGTGGGGGGGGGCGGTCCCAGGGCTCCTGCAGAAGGATCAGCTCGGCCTTGGAGGGCTGGGAGTTTCTCCCTCCCTGGCCTCTCCACGGAGAGAAGAGGTGCAGCTGCTTCCTAGCCTGCTGTAGACACGTTTGCTAATACAGAACGTCAGTCAAGGCCACACACTCACTCCCCCGCTGTGGAAAATAAGGGCGACCCCTGTCCTTTCCTAGAGGCTGCGCAGCCTCGGGCACCATGGTCAGCTCTGCGGGCTCAAGGCCTTGGCTGCCGTTCCTTGAGATTTGGAGGTGGTTGTGGCCATGACCTTGCATGAGATGTTCCTCATACAAGTTGTCTTCAGGAGCCATCAGAGTATTAAGATGTGGGCAGCAGTACCCTTTTGGGTGAGAACCTATTCAGCCACGAATTCTGTTTGGATCTACAGGGAGAGGAGTGCTGAGGAGGCCCACCATCTAATTTTCTGCCCAGCCACTCACCTTCATCCTGGTGCCCATCTTGATGGGACCAGGTTCTGTGGGGTTTATATCTTCATTTATACGCCTCCCTGTTTCACAAAGGATTTAAGTCTGGTTGTGGAAATAGAGATGATAAATTGAACCAACTAAGAAAAATGAAGCTTGAGAGAAAGGGAATAGGCAGGTAAGATGGAGTCAGAGTGAGAAGAAAAGTTTAAGTGCATGTCACAAAGTCACAGACTGTCCAAGATGCTGGGCTTCCTGGCAGCCAGTGCAAAGAGGGAAACGCAGTTCAGAGGTTCAGTGTCACAACACGGTAGCCAGCCGGAGGCTCAGAGGCTCAGCTTGTCCACAGTGGTTATTCTCACGGGTCCCGAGAGTCAGGCAGAACATTACAAACAACATTCTTGGCAAAACCCCTCCATGAACACAGTAAGCAGTAGGATTCTTCTCTTTTTAGCAGGTTCTCCCTGTGGCTTCCATCCGAAGCTACTTCCAGCCCCCAAGCTGCCCGCACTAACCTCCTTTGTTCCCCACCTCTGCTGAGTTGAATGATTGGTTTCTATTCCTGCCTGGATATCTGGGTTCCCCTTGATCCATCACTCCTAGTGGGCCAGAGGGTCACTTCTTTTCTACCCTTTAGTCCATGCTCAAGGATGCAGTAGAGAACAAACTCGAAGCCATTTTTGTTTCAGTCCAGAGACAGTCGTTGTTGTTGTTATTATTATTACTATTATTATTTTGGTAACGTGTGGGTTCATTGCTCAGTCTCGGTGAATCCAGACCACGTGAGCAGGCTGAATTGTTCGATGCCTGAGGATGTTTTGGTGACTCTGGGCTGCCCTCTGAACCCCAGAGTGATCGGTACAGAGAAAGCCCTGGCCCCGGATTTAGAGGGAACCACGTGTGCAGAGGCACAGACTCAAACCGGTCCCCTACCCGTTCTCAGGATGTGGGGTTCTGTGCTGGCGCGGACGGAGCTGGCCAGGCTGCTTCTGCAGTTTCTGGCCTGGTCCGAGAGTTTTCGGGCCTGGGCTGGCCTGTCTCTTTTTCCTCCTGTCAGGTGTCCAGAAGGAATGTCCTTGTGATAGGTGTCGAGTTCTGATTTGGGACAGGAGCCAAGCCCTCTGAGATGATGTCAGGTCTCCACCTCGGTTAGTGGACGAGCAGCCACTGTGGGTACAACCCCAGGGTCAGGTGCTCCGAGGGGCCCAGGAGGATCAGCCATAGCTCAGGATGCTTTCTGTGGGGCTGAGGCAGTGAGACTGACGGACAGGAGAACCAGGGTGCGCAGCACAAGGCATGTGGTACACATCCCAAGCCCCGCTGGGAGTAGAGAGGCAGGCAGGACCGGTGCATTCAGGGAGGGCTCCCTGGAGTTGCCAGCCTTCATGTTCCTCGGTCCTAAGGATGCAGCTGATTTGGCCAGGGGAAGGGACCAGAGGGAACCTAAACCCGGAGGAGACAGGCTGGGGGATGCACTGGAGCAAAAAACGCAAAGGAAGTTTAATGATCTCGGGCTCTTACTCAGGTGCTGTCTGAGCGGGTTGCTCCCAGCCTACGATTCAGCTTTGAAATCCGTGGTTAAGGCAGCTCTGCTCTCGTGCTGCCTCCTGCCGGCTGTTGGGAGTATAGCAGCAATGACCCGGAAAGCGGCTCAAGATTAGGCTTCCGCTGTTAAGTTTTACTAAGCCCACACCGGTGCTGTTATTCCCCTTTTGGTAGAGAGAACACATTTGGTGGCTGAAAATGTTTTGGGGAGAAGTAGCAGGGTGTCCCAGAAAGAGCTCTGGTTTTTATCTGCAGGCCTTGGGGTGGTCGGACCAGGTGATCTGAGGGCCCCCTGGCTGTGCATTCTGTGATTCTAGGTAAACACAATATACGAAGCCTAGGAAGATGTGTCTCTGGGTGTCAGATAAACTGGGTATGGGCAGGAAGTATTTTATATCTCGACTGAGATAGGACCACATGGCCAGATGACATGGGATATGCTCAGCATTGAACATTGCAAAAATACCGTGCACTCAGCGACATGAATCCATTCTGGTGCTCTCCCTGTGGATTAGTCACGGCAGACCAAAACAGGAATCCTGCTGTCGTTTTGGAGGGGAAGACTGCTGCTAGATTCTCCTTCCACTAGGCTCCTCTGCTCCTCTAGGACTTGGCCTTTGAAATGAAAAATCTACATAGCTTTGCTTAAGGTTCTCTTTGAAGGCTTCCTGGCATTTTACATCCCGTCTCTTAAAGAATGCTTGGAGTTGAATGTGCAAGTGTAATGAAGGCACTGTCAGCATTGCTGGTGTGTATTATAGAAAACTGTGCTATTCCTCTCCAGAGGTCACTGCCACCATCTTTCCTAGAGATTCTTTCCCGGAGCATTCTTCTGGTATGGCCTCACAGCTCTAAGCTGCAGGGTTAGACATGTCTCAGTTGGGGCAGCGCTGTCCCCACCTCCCCTGGTAGCTTATCAGTAGATTCTGAAGCCTGTGCCCGTTCCCATGCACGGCGCCTGACCAGTCTCACAGTTGCAATGATCCTGGATCCTCTGCAGTACCGCTGGAGGATACCGGGGCCTCGGCTCTCCTAACCGGCCTGGCCTGCCGTGCTGTGTGCCTAACTTTGACCTTGCGTGCCCTTCTTCGCTCCTTTCGACACTGATCCCACCTCGCTGTACTTTGTCTCCTCTGCATAGATTGTAAATGGACATTCAGTGGTTGAGGGGGATGTGAATGAGGGTGGTGTGAAGGCATGGGAGCCTCACCAGGTCCAAAACCCATTGGCATTTTCCGATGATGAGGAGGAAGACCTGCTGGATTTCATGTACAAGTATAAAGCGCCTCGAAGGACGGAGTTCCCCCTGGAGGTACACGGTGTTGGGGGCTGCGGGGTGGAGCGTGTGTTTGCACAAAGGCCTCTGCCCTGGAGAACTGGGGCTCCTGGGGGCAGCATCTCTTCGGGCACCCAACGCCTCCGGAGTGCCTGGGGCGGGGAGACCTCCCTCCATCAAACAGGCAGGACAAGCCACTAGGTAGCGTCCAGCTACTTGCCAAGGGGTAAAAAAGACCCTACTACTTTTATTTGGAAATAGGAGAGGTGAGATAGTGCCTAGGGATTAAAAAAACAAACAAAAAACCCAACTACTAACCTAAGGTGATGTGTGAATGAAAAGCAACCAAATGAGTGTTTGGGAGGAAGAAAAACTCAGAATGTGTTATATGACAAGTTTTTATAAAGCGTGTTCATCCCTGTATCTCCATGACACAGCGTAGTGCCTGGTACAACACAGATGTTCATAAAATGTTATACAAGGGGCACAGCCCTTCAAAATGACCAAAACAATACACTTGATGTGTGTACTCTTGCCACTTGTAGATGCAGATGGAGTTTTGGCAGCAGGAGGGCCAGGCCTAGAGCCTCAGGGCCTTGCTCTGTGCAGGGTCACCAGCCTTGGGCTCGGGTGCAGGGCCCGCAGAATGGGGGGACCCCAGAGTCTTCCTCTCTGTCCCGTCACATCTCCCCCCCCTTCCCCTTCCCCTGAACACTGCGGCCTGAGAGTCCATCTGCGGCAAGTTGGGAGTGCCCCTGCCCACAGAGCAGAGACCCTTGTGAGCCTCAGGTGAGGCAGTGCATGGAAAGGCTGACCTCCTTCCCGGAGGTGCCAGAACCATTCTAGGTCCTGAGGCTTTGTGCCTTTTTGCTTTTGTTTTTGTACAGCTGCGCAAGCTGCTTTACTGTTTATGGTTAATCTGCTTGAGGCAGATCCCTAAAACAGAGGTTTCACCGATTCTTTTCTTACTGTGTCCGGAGGTGGCTGGTAAACATTTCCTAGTCGCAAAGGTGTAGCGTGAGGACTCAGGATGTGGAAGGCCAGAGCCTTCCGTTCCTGCTTCTTTCTCTTCTGCCTCCCTTCCGTGTGCCCGCTGGGCACCAAGCTCCTTGCTGGGAAACGGTGGTGAACTCGGCCCTGCTCCCAGGAAGTCACAGCGTGGCAGGGGACACAGTGCACAGAGCAGGCACGCTCCCCCGTGGGCGCGAAGTCCTCTGACGCCCTGTCACGTGCTAAACAATGTGAGAACCAAGGAGCCGATCCTGGCTGTGAGTGGGCCATGTGGGTGGGGCTCAGGAGTGACTTAGGACTGAGAAGGGAGGAAGGACCTCTGGTCAGAAGGGATGGAGGTATGAAAGGACAATGTAGAAAACGAAGCTGAGTACAGAGAGTTGGGGCCAGTTGTGAACCCCCTTGAGTGCTATGCTAGAAAATATTTCCCTTTTCTTTTATTGTGATAGTAACTTCCCCTGTGATTTGTGTGTCCCATGGAAGGAGGGGTCCCTTGATAGCCATTTGTAGGGAAGATGAGGTGGAACCCTTCATACTTAAAGGCAGTGTTTCCTCTGTTGTGTGGTTTGCTGTGCATGAAGGGATTTCACCTCCAGAAAGAGGACTGGAAATTTGGTGATGGAAATTTGAAGCACGTACCAAGTAACACGAGGCTGGTTCCCAAGGGAAGAGATGGGGCGGTCTTTCTGCTGAGTCACTTGGTAAGATCATTTCGCTCTCAAGGCAGAAACAAGATGTGTCATCCTTCTGTGTAGCCATTCACTTGGGAGATCCAGGGACTTAAGAGAACATGAAGAGGGAGGCGCCGGGCTCCTCAACTGGCTCAGCTTCGTGGCGATGCTTGGGCTGTGACTCCGATTCCTACTGTGGACACTCCGAGTGGGCCCCCAGCCGCACCAGCCTCTTCACACACACGTGCATTTGACCAAAGGAGCTGGAGTCTCAACACAAACCCAGCCGGGTGCTGTCCTCGAAAGCTTCCATGCTATGCCAAATTGAGGGGTCCTTTTTCTGTTTCCTCTACCAGGCACCGCCTAGAATCCTTCGACCTCGCTTCAGGAAGAAAAGTACCTCATCCTCGGCCACTGAAACCACGTGAGTGAGATGAGCCAACAGCACTGGATCCACAGAATGTTTCTTCTCTGCCTTAAAGAGCTATTTATTCACTAATAACATAGAAACCCGCAAGCTGGGGTACTGAGTGTGCAGCCTCGGACATGGCCTTTCCTCTCTCCCCTGTTCCGCTTTTAAGAGTTTCTCTTCCCCCCTCCTTTTCTTTCTTTTGCTAGGGAGAGGCTAAAGGGAAAGGTAGTGTGCCAGGGGTCAGCAGTTTTCCACAACTGGACCGGCGTACAGACAGCAGTGTTTTAGAAATAGAAGAGAATCACCCCCACTGCTGGGATGCACATTTGTAATTTCTTGGTTGCATACTTTGTTTTTAGTCCTGTATATGCAAACAAAGCAGTTTTCTTTTTAACTTCTTTTTGTCCTTGGTACTAGTACTTTGGACTCTACAGTGTACATATTTACGGCTTTTGGCTTAATATAGTGGACTTGCAAGGGCTGCCAGAGGTTCTGATGTGTAAGAAAACTGCAAAAGCAGACGTGCAAAAAATTATTTTGATTCTAGAGGATGTCTCAGATGTGCTTATGAGGCTTCCAAATACAACTCGAGTACAACATCCCTTTTCCTGCAGGGCGATGGTCCATATCCTTCAGACGGTTAGTCAACAGACCAGAGTGAAGTTTAGAATGAAGAGAGGCAACATTTTAGTGACAGGTGTGAGTGTAACGAAGACAGGGGAACAGCCTAGAATAAGAGAAAAGTCACAGGAAGCTTGTCTCTCCCATGGATCCAGGATTAGGAGCTTCTGAATCCTTACAGGGGATTTATCATGGTCTTAGGCAGGAGCCTCGCCCTTGGTAAAACTTCTCGGGCGTGTAGACTTACAGCGCTGTTGTAAGGAATCATTTTGAGTGGTTCCAAAGTGCTTGACGATGACTGTGTCTCCATAATAGGACCCAGTGCTGTGACTGATTTCCCCAGGTAGAGGAGCCCACAGTGGGAGCGCCTCGTTTCAGGAAACACTAAGCGAAAACCAACCCATCCACCCAAACAAAAGCAACCCTACGATCATGCTTTGTTTCAGATACGCGGTCAAGTACATCTGAGACACCCGGGTAACAGTCCAAACGCTGGGTTCTAGAAAGGTTTCAGAGGTCGAGACCTTCATGGATGTGACTGGCTCCCCAGCTCACGGGCAGCTCTGGCTCATGCCCTCTGTTCCTCTCCTGGCCTGTGCAGAATGTGAACCAGAGAGATGTCGCACACTCGTGGGCACTCGTACTTCATACAAGCCCGCGTCGCTTAGGGAGAGAACAAATCACTGTCTGAGGGGACTCCCTGCTTAGACTGAGAATGTTATCTGAAAAGAAGAATCTGGTTTAAGGTAGCATTTTGGTCTGAGGCAGCTGCTCTGGTAGAGCCGAGCCTAAATGCAGGACTCATATACTTACGCTTAGAGTGGGCGTTTCCTTTCAGTGTGATGCATGCAGTGGTCACAACCCAGTTACTTATAATACTTGGATTGTGTTTGTTCGTAGATAGGCCCTGAACACTAGAGAGTGTTACGTACCACATAGAACCTACTGTCAATCAGCTATAAACAGGCCCAGTTAAAGACTGAGCTACGGAAACACACATCAGTCTTTGCTGGTGACACATTGGCTGGATCTTAGCCACCTCCGAGAGGGTTTTACTTGAAGTTGCTTGTTACCAGATGTGCATATTTAAATCCCTTTTCCCCACAATGCCTCTGAAGGTGACTTTGTAATTTACAAAAGGATTTAGGAAAATAAACCTAAAAGCAAATTTGTGGTTCAGAGGGCAAACAGAGGCTGTCTGTTCATTGTCTGTGCCCCACACCCACCAATACCCAAACCCCCGAGGGAAGACAGAAAACCTGTTTTCTTCAAGCTCACTGAATAGTTTCAGACAGAGGAAAAATATATGCTTTAAAATGTATTTACCTGTCATTGGGAGTACCCAGAATTATCAGAAACAAAAGCAAAAAGAGCTTAACTCATTAAGCAGCTTTTTAGCAATTTTTTTTTTTGCCAAAACAATAAATGCCTTTAGCAGCAGAGATTAAAATCCTATTGTGAACAAGCTATATTTTCACCATTTTACAATGGAGAGTTTTAACAAGTACGGGATATGAAGCTTGCACTCAACTATACCAGAAACAAGTTTGAAGCAGGCATCCAAACTGCTGTCTTAATGTAACTATTTTTCCTTCAAGCGTTGGTTAGGGAGTTGGATCCTCTCTTAAAAACACCCACTGTACAACTGAGAGCAGCTGTCATATTTCTGGCAAAACATGTTTACTTATCCAACAAGCTGTATATTTGTGTGGACTGACGTAAAATGTGAACGCCTCAAAGTGTACAAGTAGTGATGTGGAGTTCTGTCTAGAGGATAAAACTGAATGTTTTTAATTGGCTGATTTACAGACACAGGCTGTTTACAAAATGCTAGCTGGAAAGTCTGTACTTTTCATGTAGTAACTTTCGGTTCTTTGCTATTGAGCACCTGTTCTGTTTCTGAGAAGATGAGACGTGGTATTGTACTTATAAACTGGAGAGTTAGGCATAATCCCTCCTGGCTTTATGTGAATAGCTTGCTCACTTCGCTGGCCTCTGAAATGTGTGTTCTCTGTAGTATACTGTCCATGTGTCTGTGATAACAGTGCTTGTCAACCACGACCACCACCGAGTACCTTCCTAGTTGTTCACCTTGCACAGTATTGGAAATGGTAAAGGATGTGTGCTTCATTCACAAACGGCACACACTCAGAGAGCTGGCATTCTGGACGGTGACTGTGTACACTTGCCCTTGGTTTATTTCTGTAATCTCCATAGAATGATCTGTAATCAAATAGTATACTGAACTGTGCATCAAAGGGATGTAAAGTTACAGTATTCCAAAGGTTGAAGTTCTGCTGTTTTGTTATAATGCCTGATATATATCTTGAATAAAGTCTTAACATTTTTCTTTTAAAAGACATCTTTGTAATGTTGGGCTTATGAGGAAAGAGAAAATACTTTAAAAAAAAAAATGTATTCGTCAGCAAGGATTAGAAGCTGAGTACTCAGCCACTAACTGGCCTGGTGCCTGGTGACTTGGCTCCGTGCCTACTGCACAGAATTGTTGCAAAGAGAAAAAAATTAATTGATATCTGTGCTTTGAAAACCAGTTGATCACATAAATATAAATCTGGTACTATGTTTGTCTTACATTTTTAAAGGTCACCAGTGGAAACCAGGTATCTGTGAAAACAGGGTAGTTCATCTGCAAGGCAGTTTTAATTCTGCAAACAGACCTTTGGTCTGTCGCTTTCCTTCTAGGAACCTGTATCCTCATCTGCTAATGCGGGAGAAGGGATGCAGGTCAGAAGAGGGCGGGGCACGTGGAGATGCACTGGGAGTTATGGATGCCCTTAATGCCACTGCAGCCCTTGCCTTGAAGATATAAACGGGTACATGGACTTCCCTGGCGGTCTGGGGGTTAAGACTCCGCGCTTCCACTGCAGGGGGCGCGGGTTGGATCCCTGGTCGGGGAAGGTCCCACATGCCACGTGGTGCGGCCAAAAAAAACAAAAACAAAAAAACCCCCAAAGACTTGGAAACTCAAAATCTGAAACGTCACAATGAAACACTCATTTTCTTTGCCTTTATAGTCCTATATGTTTGGCACGAGGAATGTAAAGCATAGCAGCAGCAGGTAAAGAAGACGATAGAGGACTGAAAGAAAGAAGAGATGCAAAGGAAGGCTGAAAATCCACTCATTAATCATTTCCTGAGCCAAGTCCAATGTCAACAGAACTGATATTAACCAGGTTAAGAGCTGACAAATAACAAAAAGCAAAGTTATAAAATTTAAAAGCTGACTTGGTTCAGTGTCATAAAGAAGTATTTAGTATTTATGGTGCTAGATTACAGTCACTTGTTGATTTCGATGTGAATTTTCATATGTTGTTAGAAGACTTGGGGAAATACACAGGATTCCAAGGAGATGGACCCGGGTTCTGTGACTTACTAGTCGTATTTTGGGTAACGTATTTAACCTTCTGTGAGCTTCAGTTTTTGCAAATCTAAACTAGGGACAGACAATATCTCCCTTGCAAGGTTGGTATGAGGGTTAGCCGTCTTGTGGATCCATGCTGGGACGTAGTAGGTGTTAAATAAATTCCACTTTTATACTTGAATGTCATTTAGATAGACCCTTTAATGTAATAAGATGTTTTGTTGTCAAACTATAAAATCACTGTAGATGATAAGCCCTGCCACCCATAAAACAAAAATTACATGTATGAAAATTCCCTTTCCCCTAAATCATGTGCCTGTCAGCCCTTCCACTTCAGTCCGTCTCTGGCTGCTGGGGCCTTAGCCAGCCCTTGTCTCTACCTCTCCTGCCCCTGGCCTAGAGGGGAAACCAAGGTGCTCTGACGCCCACAGACCCTGTTGTCCACGTTGCACTAAGAAGTCACGGAGGTGGTAGAAAAGGCTCCTCCTCAGCTTCTTCGGGCGCCAGATCCATCCCGCTTCCGGGGGTGAATGGAAGAGGTGAGGAGCCAGGCAGGTGAGAAATGATGTGGAGGCCTTGTGAGGGACTGGCTTCTGCTACCCCAGAACAGGAGGAAATGAAAACCCATCAAAACAGAAAGCCGTTCCATGCGTCAGGTTCTTGAGATTCTCGTCTCGAATCAAATGTGCGTTCTTTATTAACTGGTCCCATAAACACACACACACTTGGCCTTGGAGTTTTAGAACACTCTCTTGTCACCCTTTTTCCTTTTAGTGAACACACGCTGGTTTCAAGGAGTTCCTCCAATAATCCTAGTCTGACATGCCACAGAATTCCAATTTGGTTATCTTTTTCTTAATCTGTTAATAGAGGAACTGCATCTTATCATCACCAACTATTATATTAAAGGGTCTGAAGCAGTAATTGAGGCATAATTGTATTTAATAATGGTTTTTCAACCAGTCAAAATGCTCTGCTCTTTGAAAATGCTTCCCAGAGATTCTGACGGGAAAGCGGAGAACCACTGCCCTAGACTGTAAGCATCCTGAAAAGCTGAATTTCCCTCAGCGCCGCTTACCTGACCCTCTTCATGTGAACAGTGCTTAACTTCTGCATCGTTTCTAAACATGACTGAGATTACTTTTCCCCTTTAGATTCTACAATGTGTCTTTGGAAAATTTTGGAAAAAGTTTACCCTCACAATTAAAAGTATGAAATCTCAAGTGGATAAATGAACTTTTATAAAATATAGTATCTTTTAATTCTTGGTTAAAAAGTTTTTGTCTCCACTTATACAGCCTCTTTAGCTTCACGAATGGGCACACTGAAAGGCTATTTCATTTACTCTTCTCTCAATGAAAATCCTGTTCCAGTAAACTAAGTGAGAACTGCTATGAATGCAGTGAACCTAGTAGACCAGACGTGTTAGCACCCCAGGCTCACCTCTGAGAGAAAACTGCTCACATGACTATTTTTTGCTCCAAGTGGACCTGCTAGCCCAATCAAATGGACCAGGGTGGGCTCCTGACCTCAGAACAGCCAGTCCCCACACTGGTCCGTGACCCCTGATGAGACCTGGTGTAAAAGGACAAACTGACCCAGTTAGAGTCTCTTTGCAGTTAGTTAGAGACTGGAGATAGGAGCTGAGGGTCATGATGTAGAAAAGTACCTCAAAAGTGCATGCTAGCGTTATTATGGGAAGCAGACACTAAGAGTAAACAAAAGCTGTGAATCAGAGAAGCTGGTGAGGAAAGAGAATGGAGCCAGTGATGGAAAAAGAACTGAGCCCCGTGCACGGCAGACCCCAAGCCTAAAGATCCACCACTCCTGCTGCTGATGCCCCTGCAGGTGCCTCAGATCCAGTATCACCATGTAATTTCTGCTCTTCCTGAGGCCTGGGGGTTAGTTCTGGGTGGGAGATGGGGGTGTGAGGTGTTCCTGCGTTCCCAGGCACATATCCTTAAGATAATGTCACACTGCTTGAGCTAACTTGTTAGCTTTACAGTCTTCTTACGTTTGTCCTAACTGGAGATTCCTTGCAACTAAATAAGCCTAATGGGAACAACTGTTTAAGCCATTACCATTTGTTAAAAATAATCAGAATTTAAAATTTCTATTTCTCTGAACAAATCTGGGAATGTTTAATCCATTAAGTTTTAAAACGTTGGTAAGTTTAATGTTGGTACTACATGTTTCCATATCAGTTGGTACAACTTACATCACATCTTATACTATTTCATCTTTGCAAAGACATCCTATACACAAAGATACACATTCAATAACTGGGAAATCATAAAACTTCTGATCTATACTTTCAAGTTTGTTCGGTCATGATACTTCTGATAAAGATCATCAGCATACCAGTTTCGCCTCTTCCAGAAAGATGTTGTCATTTTATCTAAGAGCTTACTTTGGGTTTTATTGCAGAAGACGAATTCCCTCAAGCGTCTTTTTCTTGCAACCGTCTTCTTCCATAATTTTTTCTTATAACCAGCCTGTTAGATAATATTACAAAGACAATTTAAAACATTATATTATACAGGAAACAACAGATATGTTAACCACTCATGGTTCATAGGCTCGCTGGAAACAAAGACTAAACTTTCATAGGGGCTGGTATGTTTTTCAGAAAAATGTGATTCTCAGTGTGGGGGTAGACAGAGAAATCGTGTGTAGTTTGAAAAAGGAATGTTAATAATTTAAGAGTTTTAAAAAGATTATTTAAAGCCACAGCAAATAAAGCTAAATAAATCGTTGTGCTGGTGAAGTACAGGGTAATGATATATAATTGTAACAGCTAAATTTATATGCATTACCTCATTATCTCTTCAACAATCTTCAACAATAGCATACTATTATTCTCATTTTACAGATAAAAGAGAAACTATTAGAGCAGTTAAGCAGCACACTGAGGTCAGAGAATTAATAAGAGCTCTTAACCACTACACTGCTATCTTCCTAAAGTGGAGGACGATGAAGGGAGTACTGGCTAGTTGGTGACACTTATGTTCATTTAAGGGGGCCTAAGTATGACAAAGGCTGAGAAGCAGAGTTCTCAAGTATACTGTGTCATTTATTCTTTTCACACACTGGGGGGACCAGTTTCTACAGTAAGTACTTTTCTAAGGAATAATGACCGCAGGAAAACTATTACTGGGAGTGGTGAAGGAATAATCCATGCATTATTAATTTTGAAGAATTAATTTTTGAAGAAATAGATAATTAGATCGAATACAAAACTATAACCATAGCCTGTTTATTTTTTTTTCTTTTGGCCGTTCTGCACAGCTTGTGGGATCTTAGTTCCCCAACGAGGGATTGAACCCAGGTCCTCAGCAGTGAAAGCGTGGAGTCCTAACTACTGGACCACCAGGGAATTCCCAACCATAGCCTGTTTAAACTAGAAGAGACCTTAGTTGCCACCCAGGTTAATGCTTGGCTACAGTAATTTATAGGAGAGGTGAGACTAGAAACGCAGCTATTGGTAAGAGCATTTGGGTCCTTTCAAACCAAGGGCTCTTTAGGGCTGCACACTAACTGAACAAAACCACAGCTCTTTGCTGAGAAGGTGCCTTGGGGTTTCTGACATGACTTAGTGTCATCACTGTGACCAGCAACTTCTATAGTACAGTGATGCTTAGAAATAAGGAAGGGTCATTTCAGAGTTCTGGCTTTAAAATGCCAGAGATTAGATGGTTACTTCTCATTACTTACAATTCTAAGTTGAAAGAGTCAAAGAAAAATCCCCATATTTGTGTAACAATTTTCTAGTTTGCAAGCCAATCTGGGTCCCTGTGGATCTCTGACATACAAACAGCTAGTTTGCTGTCCTGCCCATCAACAGCAGAATAATCTCCTTTGAAGATTATTCTGTGGAATGTAACCACTGTGAAAATGCTTGAGACTTTTTGGACAATCTACAAGTTCAGAAATGGAAGGAGGGAATAAGCAATAAAAATTAGGGACACCTGGATGAAACTGTGCTGCAGAAAATACTTTCTGTTTTCATACATTAGTGTAAATTAACCCACCCAGATTTTTGTTTTCTTCTTAAAATTAGATTTTGATAAAGCAGGCCATTCTGCATATGGAATACTTTTGGGGGCCTTGAGCAGGGACTAGGTATTATGACTGGAGAATTCGATCAGGTCATTTATAACAGTGTGAGGGTTTCAGGGCCCAGTAAAAGGGATGTGGAAAGGAAGGCAAGGAAAACCACCCATTTTATTTTATCTAGGGCCAGATGAGGACCTGGAAATAGTTAGTATAACAAAGGGGAGGAAATGTTTCCAATGGTCCAAAATTCATAACTATGTGCTGAATTACTTAGTTCAGCTACTTATGGATTACATGAGCTTCCACTGACTAGTGTAGGAAACTAACGACCACAGTATTGTTCCAATGGAGAAGTGAGCTGAGAGTTCCAATTAACTTATTTGTCTACAAATTTAGGATTGTTTGTAACAGAGTACCTTTCAAATAGTGAGAAAATGCTACCAATTATCTTATTTTCACAGGGAAACAAATTTTGATCTTTAAAGAATTATTTGTTTGTTAACTCCCAAGTAGTAAAATGGAATTAGGATTTGAAGTTATCAAAACTCAAAGGTGTTTTGCAAAACTCTGGTCTTCAGCTGCTTTCTAATTATCACCTACTGTTTCCATGAATAATAAGGACATGAATGGAAAAGACCTGCTGCTGTGGGAGAAGACAGAGTAGGAATACTCTGTCAGAGTCCCCCTCTAGAGGCCATGGTCCCTGGCCAGAATAAATATTGGAGTTCTGTCTGATATGATCACCAATCATACACACCAACAGAGAAAAACTTACAAAGTCAAATTTAAAACAAGTATATGAGGGGTTAATGTTCCGCCATAAAGAGTAAGCCACCTGGAGAACCCAACCCAAGGTAGGCTGGAAGCTATTCGGTCCCAAATCTGCACCACGGGACTAAGTCCTCGCTGAAGTCCGCTCCGCTGTTTTAATGCTCTGGGCTTAAACAGAGCCTCCCCACAGGTTATTTACATTTCGGGGGCTTCAAAGGGATTCCGGTAATCACCAGACAAGACAGACATGTAAGAGACCTGGGATGAACCCGTCCTGCAGTGAAGACTTTCGCCATTGTGAATAATATTTTGTTATATGAATAGTTAAAAATGTTTTCTTCACACGTATTCACTGACATGAAGAGATGCCTGCCAAGCCGGGACTTAAGCACAGCACTGTAAAAGCTGCTGGTAGGATGGGGGGAAGATGCGTCAAGGAACAGGCTGACTTCTGCTTCAGCTTAGTCTAACCTCACACTCCTTTTCTAAGCAAGTAACCGTGTGAAGACTCACCTTCCTCCTTAGCCACAGGCCAGAATGAAGTCGAAGAAACCTATAGATGACAGCTTTCACAGTCTTTCTCTTGCCTTTTCTTGAACTGTAGTATGTTACAGTTCTGACTGGTGGCTTCAGGACGTTTGGGAGCAAGGGGACCACTCTAAAATATATTGAAAAATCTTTAACTCAGCAGTAAGACATTAAAGGATAAAATCCACTTCTGTACTTAGAAATGAAAGCAGCAGCTCCACTGGAATAGAGCTCACTTTCAATAAACATTGTTACCCCAGATGATCCGTGACACTACACATAAGAATGGCAACTACCATCAATTTGCAAGTCCTCCATAACCTACCCTCTCAACCCCTAGGAGAGAATTTATTCTGCTGTATTTTAATCACCTGATTCCTTATCCATCTGCCACTAGATTATAAACTCCTTGAGGACTTTAGCTTATTTTTAGCTTCGCATCGTTTCTGCCAAGCATGGTGCTGGGCACCCAGGAGTGCTTAGCTCAGTATCTGCTGACTGAATAAGCACCACACGCAGCCGAGCCTTGTAAGTTGAGCACCTTGTTCACCCCCCCACTTTGGCTGACAGCTTCCACCCAGGAAACCACATCTTAGAACATCAGAAGCAGGCCCTGTGTAGTCATCCCTGATGCTGGCATGTATCTTCTCCCATCCTTCAGGCAAAGTCTATATAATAAACCGGCAAAGAATACCATCTACTTCTAAGATGTTGTAGGCATGAAGATTTTAGAATTTTTGTCCAAGCATCATGTTTACTGAAATATACTCAACCTATTGAGGACTGTGGCAGTCTGCCCACATGTCAGGTTTCTGACAGATGTGATCAGTCTGGGAGCAGAGGACACAACCAGTGTCTGAATATGACTGAAATGTCGGGAAGACAGTGCAGAACTAAGACAGGCATTCTTGGAGCAGTTTCGATAGGCTGAAGATGCCAAAATACTCAGGGGCCGTAAGATTCCTGGAGAGAGAGAGAAGCATATATACTTAATATGACACTCCAAAATACACATGCAGGGAATTCCCTGGCAGTCCAGTGGTTAGAACTTGGCGCTTTCACAGCCGGGGCCTGGGTTTGATCCCTGGTCGGGAAATTAAGATCCCGCAAGCTGCGGGGCGTGGCCAAAACAAAAACAAAATTATGCATCCAGATATGTAAAACAAAGTAATGTACCGAAGCGACCAAGTATTATATGTAATTAATGGGTCCTGAGCATCAGACTCACGTGTGGAGCTTTTTATCCTTATTGAGGTATAGCTTACACATCACAAAATTACCCATTTATGTACAATTCAATGCTTTTTAGTAAATTAGAGAGTTGTGCAACCATCATCACAGTCCAGTCTGATGTGTCCTAGCTCTCCATCCAACAGTACGGGACAAAAGACATGCAATGTTAATTCCCACCACCAGATCTTACACCGTGAGTACACAGAACTCCTGCACGTAGGGAATGGCAAGGCAGAAACACAACAGCTCCTCGGCGCCGCAGAGAGACAGCAGGTGGCAGGAGGAGGATTCATAAAGAAAACAGAAGAGGTACTTGAGCTTCCCTCTAGCAAATGAACAGGCCATGAGAGGAGGCACAGAGTCCAGGTAGCATGAACAACGTACGCAAAGGCAAGGAAGCCGAAACAAATCCATGTCGGGAGCGGGGACTGGACCTGCCACAGAGGCTGAGGACTGTTTGCCTGACTATCGGAGATGCCTGGGGAGTAGTGGGTAACAAGGTGGGCAGCTCAGAAGGCAGATCATGGGAGGCCTAGATGTGTGGACTGAACGCAGTCCTCTTTATCAATCCTTCACACTATCACCAGATTCAGAGTCCACGGCTGCAAAGCAGAATCACTCACAGAGCTCTGACTCCACTTGTAAATTCTGAGTGAGGCTAGTGTGGGGCTTAAGAATGTGCATGTTGGGGTTCCCTGGTGGCGCAGTGGTTGAGAGTCCGCCTGCCGATGCAGGGGACACGGGTTCGTGCCCCGGTCCGGGAAGATCCCACGTGCCGCGGAGCGGCTGGGCCCGTGAGCCATGGCCGCTGAGCCTGCGCGTCCGGAGCCTGTGCTCCGCAACGGGAGAGGCCACAACAGTAAGAGGCCCGCGTACCGCAAAAAAAAAAAAAAAAAAACATGTGCGTGAAAAGAAAGAGTCACAGATATAGAAAAAAATCTATGGTTATCGGGGGGAAGGGGGGGAGGGATAAACTGGGAGATTGGGATTGACATATACACACTACTATATATAAATAATCAACAAGAGCCTACTGCATAGCACAGGAAGCTCTACTCAATATTCTGTAAAAACCTATATGGGAAAAGAATCTAAAACAGAGTGTACATATGTATATGTATAACTGATTCACTTTGCTGTACAGCAGAAAATAACACAACATTGTAAATCAACTATACTCCAATAAAAATTTTAAAAATAATAATAAAAAAAGAATGTGCACGTTGATAAAACTCCACAGGATGATGGAAATGTCTGAAAAGAGGATTGTGGTGATAGCTGCACAACTCACTACATCAAACTGTACACACAGGGCCTCCCTGGTGGCGCAGTAGTTGGGAATCCGCCTGCCAATGCAGGGGACACGGGTTCGAGCCCTGGTCTGGGAAGATCCCACATACCACGGACCAACTAAGCCTGTGCGACACAACTACTGAGCCCACATGCCTAGAGCCCGTGCTCCGCAACAAGAGAAGCCACTGCAACGAGAAGCCCGGGCACTGCAAAGAAGAGTAGCCCCTGCTCGCCGCAACTAAGAAAGCCCAGGCACAGCAACGAAGACCCAACGCAGCCAAAAACAAAATAAATTTTAAAAAAACTGTATGTACAAAACAGGTAATTTCATGGTATGTAAATTATACCTCAATAGTTGGTTAAAAAAAAGCTCCACAGGACTTCCCTGGTGGTGCAGCGGTTGAGAATTCGTCTGCCAATGCAGGGGACACGGGTTCGATCCCTGGTCCGGGAAGATCCCACATGTTGCGGAGCAGCTAAGCCTGCGAGCCACAACTACTGAAGCCCGCGCACCTAGAGCCTGTGCTCCGCAACAAGAGAAACCACCACAATCAGAAGCCCGTGCACAGCAACGAAGAGTAGCCCCTGCTCGCCGCAACTAGAGAAAGCCCACACGCATCAATGCAGCCATAAATAAATAAATAAATACTAAATTTATTTATTTAAAAAAAGCTCTACAGGTGAGTCTGATACTAAGTGAGGGCTTGGAACCACTTTCTTATTGTCCACTGCACTGATTTCACATGACAAATGAGGGGCAGTGTGGAGAAGTGAAATGCCAGTGTTTGAGGCAGACTGGGTTCATATTCTTGCTCTACTACTTACTAGCTGTGTGACAATGGGCCAGTTAGTTAACCTCTCTGTGCCTCAGTTTCCTCAAATTTAAATGAGGTTAATCATGGGCTTTCCTGGTGGCACAGTGGTTAAGAATCCGCCTGCCGAGGCAGGGAACATAAGTTCGAGCCCTTGTCCAGGAAGATCCCATATGCCGCGGAGCAACTAAGCCTGTGCACCACAACTACTGAGCCTGCGCTCTAGAGCCCGCAAGCCATAACTACTGAGCCCATGCACCACAACTACGGAAGCCTGCACGCCTAGAGCCCGCGCACCACAACAAAGAGTAGCTTCCACTTGCCGCAACTAAAGAAAGCCTGTGTGCACCAATGAAGACCCAACGCAGCCAAAAATAACTAAATAAATAAATGTACTGAAAGAAATAAATGAGGTCAACCATGGGCAGGTAATGAGAATTAAATAAGATAAAATATGTAAAGTACTGGGAAGAGTGCCTGGCATAGAGAAAACATTTAATAAATGCTAAAAGCAGACAACAGAAAAGAGCTGAGGAGTGCTTAACAAAGATGGTATAATGTTAATAGGTGGCAGAAGGAAGATGGAATACTTAAAACCCTTATTTTGCTTTTCTCTTCTCCATCAGAGATAACAATTTCCAGTCACCTGGTGACCCAGTGGGTAGGATTCTGGGCTTCCACTGACGTGGCCCAGGTTCAATCCCTTCAAATCTCCAAGTATAAATAATTTATATCTCAAAGAACTGAAACTCTTTGCAGACATGATTACATGCCAGGAGGTAAACTTTGAAAGATTAAGTGAATAGGAGGATTGCAGACAACAAAATGTCCCAATTTTCACAGATCATCGGAGCTTGATATATCTCAATTAAAAAATACAACAAAACTCTCAGAAGTTCTTGGAAACTGCCCCTGAAGGAGGTGAGCAGATGGGAGTCCAGAAATAACTGGGCAAACTACAGGCTTATCTGTAGAAAAAAAACAATGTTAGAATGGATAAATAGAAATGCACAGAAAAAAAATTTTTTTTTCGTCAACCGGGAGTGAACTGTTCCTTGAAAAGAACTTCATTTCACTTTTTTTTTTTTTCTGATTTCACTTTTTGATGTAGTCACCAGCCTGAGAAATCATGAGAATACCTAGACAGTGTATCCTGTCTAGATAGGAAGGCATGTGAAAAGGTTTCTTATATTCTAAATAAATATAGAAATGTGGGCAGGACAATAAATTAGGTAAATTCCAAGCTGATTGGAAACTGTACTCAAATTAGTTGATTGCTGTTCTCCTGGTGGAAGTGTCTTCCTGGCTCCCTAATTGACTCTTATTTTTCCCCAATTTATATGAAGGTCCTGAAGCTGTACAAGGCATGTTTAGCAAATCTGCATAAAAAACAAGCTGGGAACCATGGCTTATTAACATATTTGTGAAAAGATAGACTATCTAGACTCAAAGTGATCTCAGTAAAAGGAAAAACAGACCAAAATTAACAAAATGAAACCAGGGATAAACCAACTGAGGTTAGAAAAAAATGGTTCCTGGAACAACAGGAAGGGTGACTGTGGCTTGAGAGCAGTTTCTGGGAAAATGACTTAGGGGGCTTTATCCACCATACCCTCTCCTGGACCAACACTGTGATTTAGCTTGTAAAAACCAAAGTCCAACTTAGACTGTGTTAACCAAGGGCAGCTCACAAATCAAGGGCAGTGATTAACTGCTCCTTCAGTCTTCTGCCCTCTTTGGGAATTTTAGTACAGACAGGCTTTCTCTTAAACACCCTCTTGTATGGAGAACACTGATGTTTTCATGAAGGAGGTGACACAAAACCAGTTTCGAAGGAGTAAGAGAGGAGGTAGTGGAAACAGGAGGCCAAAAATGGAATACGTAGTACGTAGTACGTTTCGGGAGCTCTGTTTGGGTAATTACAAATAGCCCCCCTGTGGCAGGAATCAAAGGAATGTGGGGGTAGGGGGAGGTGAGTGTGACAGTGTCTAAACTAGTGGTCTTCAAGGTTTTTTTTTGATCCCATACTCTCTAAATGAATTTTGAAAAATTATGTACCCTTTCACAAAATTTCAATATCTAAAATTTTAAATAGTTTAAAAAGGATATAATTTCCAGTATATTTCTAAAACTGACATTTAAAAATAAGCTGTCACACCACTCTTTTAAATGTTTTCAGTGGAATCTAAATACCATAGTGAGTTAATACCCGCCTACATCATCAATTGTTAAAAAACAAGGACAATAAATCCAAATTGATGAAAATAAGAACTTTTCATCAAAAGATACGTTAAACAAACTAAAAAGGCAAGCCAGAGTGGGAGAATATATTGGAAACACATTTAAATGAGAAAAGACACACATCCAACATACATAAAGAACTACTATAAATCAGTAAGACAATTCAATAGAAAAATGGGCAAAATATTTGAGTATTTCACAAAAGAAATTCAAATGGTTAACACACATGTAGAAAGGTATTCAGGCTCATTACTTATCAGGGAAATGCTACTCAAACCACAACAAGACACCACTAAATACTCACCAGATTGAAAAAATGTACAGGTCTAACAATACCAACTGTTGATGAGGATATGGCACATACAGTGATGGGTGACTTTTTTTTTTTTTTTTGCGGTACGCGGGCCTCTCACCGCTGTGGCCTCTCCCGTTACGGAGCACAGGCTCCAGACGCGCAGGCTCAGTGGCCATGGCTCACCGGCCCAGCCGCTCCGCGGCATATGGGATCCTCCCGGACCGGGGCACGAACCCGTGTCCCCTGCATGGGCAGGCGGACTCTCAACCACTGCGCCACCAGGGAAGCCCGTGCTGGGTGACTTTAAATAAGCGCATCACTTCGGCAGCATCAGGCAATACAGAATATATATTCTCTGATTCAGCAATTCCACAGCTAGTTTTATATGTATAAACACACACACACACCATAGAGAAACTCTTGCACTCATGCACCATGACACAAGGCCAATCAGCTTTGTACCTAACCGCCCCAAAGTGGGAACACCCAAATGCCCATCAATAGTAAAATGCAGAATTGGAGGGTAGTCCCATAAGAGACCATTCTATAGCAATGAGAAAGCATGACAGCTACGTGTAAAATGAATGAATTTCACAAAGAAAGACACAAGAGTACATACTATGTGATTCCGTTCATGGAATGTAAAAAAACAGGCAAAACTAAACAATATATTGCTTAGAGATGCATATATGGATCTTAAAACTATTACAGAAAAAAAGACAAGGTAATAATAAAAGTGAGGGCAGTGTTTATGTTTGGTGGAAACTGGCAATTTTGGTTGAAGAGGCACACAGAGGTGAAGGCTCCTGGTACTGTTCTATGTCCTGGCCTGGGTGTTAGTTATACCCATGTTTGCCAGAGTTATTTGTTAAGGTAGTCATGTCTGCTATATACATTTTTCTTTATATGTTATATTTCACAATTGAAAAATACCCCACATAAACCAGCTCTTCTGTAACCGTTGGAAACTTGACACTTTTTCCTTTCTAGTCTTGTTCCACAGAATTTTATCCTATTTTGTGTGAACGTAATTTACCGATCATCGTATCTTATTTGAACGATCTTTAACTTTTGCAAGAGTCCCTACAGTGAAGGCA